TCATAATTCATATTTGTGAAATTTTCTTCCTTTTATAAGTAGCCAGGGTTCATTTGCATTTATTTGGAGGTCAAAAGATCACTAAAATATTGAGAGGAATGGTTTGATGTGGTTTTCAAATAAAATATGTTCTTTTGTATTTTAAATCATATTAAAATATAGAGTAAGAAATTTTAAATAAAAATAAATTTCAATATTAAAAAATTTATCTCTCATTTAAAAATTTTTATGATATAATTTAAATTACACAATAATTTTTTTGTTCCATATATTCCATGCATATTCATAAAAGAAGATGAAATGGGTAATGCTAAAGCCCCGGCAATTGTTAGCGCTGCAAACGTTCATTAACATCCAAAGTGGAAGACCAATTAGAAACCAAGCATTTCAATAAACATTTTTTCTTTAATTTCACAAGTATTAAAGTTATAGAATTACCATTTAAAAAAAAAAAGGTCTAAAAGTTTTAATTCCAAGAGTTTTGAATTATTTTGACAATCCAATGATTATGGTCGGCTAAGAGAGTAATAAGCATTTTTTTATTTGTTAAATTAAGAAAATAAGACATCACTGAAAAAGCTTCCAACAAAAGTTAGAAATAGATAATATTTCTTAGTAATTATAATTTTTATTAAATTAAGAGATGATTAAGGTTTGAACTCCAATGTCGCTCTTTTTTTCTATTAGAGTCAGAATTTATGATTGTTTCTTCTTTTGGGGTTGTTCTCTCCCTTTTCTCTTTATTTTTACTCTGCTTTCTTTCCTTTTTGTTTCTATGCCCCTTTCGTTCTAATTTTTCTTAAACATGAAACACCTAAAGGGTTAGATTTAGGTTTTGTTCTATTTCATTATTTTAATATATCAGCTGTTATGATAGAGATGAAGAAAGAAGGAAAGAAAGACAAGTGTGCATGCTTAATTGTTTGATGGAGTTAAAATGGCTTAAGAGAGGATTATGTTTCTACACTTCTATCATGAGATGACAGCTAATAGTAAAGCTAACCCTCGGTTATGGTTTTATTTGATGCAGTGGATATCTATCTTGTTTAGATAGATATTTTATGTGAACTTGTATTTATAAAGAGATAATTAAATATTATTATATATAAAAAATGCATATTAAGTTAAAGATTGAGTATAATATATTTAATTATATTTTAATTCATATAAAAAATTATAATATTTAATAAATATACAAACATATCTATACTTAACAAATATATCTCTTCGCTATAAGTTGGATGATAAATATAAATTTTTTATATCCACAAAAATATTAAATATCAAAACTTTATATATATTACTATTCAAGATAAATACAAATATGGAGAAATATCTAATCCATATCCATTTATGCTCACCCTTAGTAATCAACAAATTTATTGGCCCCATTTCTTGCAATTATTGATTCCTAGCTACCATCTGCGCGCGATTAGGCCACAACATGGTTGGGCCCATTGACTGTAATTATTGATCCTGTAAAAGAGAGAAAAGATATTTACAGAATCCTCAAATTCATCTTAAAAAAATATTGGTAA